AAATCACGATTGATTGCACATGAACCGCAATTGCTCTTATCTGCTGATGTCGACGGAAGGAATTCTGTGCACTTATGAAGTTTATAGCTCTTGCCAATGGGAAAATGAAAAATGTGTCATCAAAACTTACTCAGGGTCCATCGTGCGACTAAACCTAGCATGGATACTGATGCTTCCATTCACTAGCCAATGTGTTGTAGGTAACTAAATAACAATTGTGAGCTAGACAAGCAACCCATTGTTACTTCTGCACCTTTTCATAGTAAGCTCCATCATGTCCTCCATCATATCCTCGAAGTCAAACATTAATAACTGAATTTTTCATGAAAATAGCACTTCAAAGGCTTCAGTTGACATGAAAAGATTCGCTTTGAGCGGGAGACTTTGCAGAGCAAAAAATTATTTACGTCGTTCATTCCTTTCCCTCCATTTTCACCACTCAAAAACAATCAAATGCAAAAAAAAAACACATCATGCAAGGCAATATGAGTATCTGGAACAAACAGATGACAACTTGGAAAACAAGCAGGTATATATTTGCCTTTTGGTTTAAGCACCAAAAAACTTGTACTTTTCGGAACTATCCGAATATTGCAGCACATTTTTAGAACCTTCCACACATGGTCACTTACCACTCAGGGTAAGTTCACCCTATACCTGAAATCCTCCTGTTCGTAGCTTGTATCCAGGCACATTGATGAATCCTTTTAGAAACGTAAGAACAGCTTCAATGTTTTCGTTGATTCATTCAACTACTCTGAGAAATCCTCCGAATTTTCAGAATTCTTAACTCCCCTGGTGATGACTCATTTAATTGTCCCTGCCGAATCTTCCCTCCTCATCAAAGACAGTTGTCACAGAAAAGTAATTTGTGAAAGTGACTTTTTAGTGCTATATGGGATTAAGAGACAGCTGGAGCAAAAAATAGCAGACGATAACGATGTAATGGATTCTGAAGATTATCTAATGATTGTGCCAGAAATGTCATTGCATTTCATTCAGTTCAACGTTAGAGTTACCAAAACTCCAGCTTTTCCCGAACATGTCCTTTTCCGCCTTCAAATTTCCGTCCAAGCGGAAGGCTTCTTCTTCTTGACTGTTCGAAATATGGTAATCCTATCTTTCAGAGGGGTAGACCTATCTTATTCTTTATGAGAGCCCGATCTTGACACGGAACGTCATTATGTAAGGCGACCAGATTTTTCCAGATTTTACTAGGACGGGTCGTTTTCTCAGGAACAGCCCATGTTTTTGAGGCACTGCCCTGCTCAGAAAACCATCCAGGGATTTTTCCTTTTAGTGTTCCAGATTTTCCTCTTAACCCTTTACTGCTTGATATATGAATATGAATGCCTTGGAGAAAAACATTCAAGTTTCGTATACAATTCTTTAGAGATACGAAAATAATATATATTTTTTCATCAAATTCCCAAAATTCGATCATTTTATAGCAATTTTAGATTATTGGCAAAATGGAAGAAATTTGAAAAAAGAGAAAAACCGCAACAATATAATTTTCAAAAGTTCAGAGAAAGATGTGAGACAAAGATATGAGACAACTTATGCTTGACAATTTTTTTTAAGCATCAAATATAATAAATAAAAAATTAAGAAGTTTATGGCGAAATACGGCGAAAAGGTATTTTAATCCACTATGGTACCGGCCCGGTAGTTTCAATATGCTCCCAGTTGGTAACAACCATACATTTAACCTTTTCCGCTCCGTTTTTTGGCAAAGCTGCGACCGATGGTGAACTCAGTTCGATTGTGTGGAAAGGGTTAAAAAGTATTTATGTTCTTCCCTATCGGGAACATCAAGGATGTTTCAGAAATTCTCCTTTCGTCACACAGCATATCTCCAGTCATTTTATATTTTAAAAAATGATCCCGGTATGTCCCATATTGAAAACACGATGCAGTGAATGGTTCAAAAATTCTGTTCATCATATCATAATGGGCACAATATGCTTGTAGACATCCCTACCCGAACCTTGAATTGAAAAAAACAAATGGTGTGAAAACCTCATCTGGTTAAGCCTGCGGTTATGCTACTTCAGAAGCTTTCGCCAACAAGGTCTTGACGTCACGTGCTACGTCAGAACCACGTACTTCGGGAGCAGTGGCGTATTTTCCGGGGGGCAGGGCGGCCGTCTCCCCGGCATCCCTTGAGAGTGCCGAGCGCCCCTCAAGGATATTTATCACCCTGAAAGCCTTTGCACTGAATCCCCCCCACCTCCATCGGCTTTCGCCGCCACCTTTCTTATAACTTGCCCTCCCTGGCTAATGAGTCAAAATACGCCTCTGCTTGAGGATCAGGCTAATGAACGAATACGCAGCTACGCTGGGACTGTACTCACTTAGATCGGCTGCATGTGTAGCGTCACAATGTTGTCGATAAGAGAAATGTTGACTTGTGAGAGAGCGAGAACACAGGCCAGTGGCAGAAAAGTCTTTTACACCTCTACAGTACTTTCACAATGAGTTCACACACTCCAAGGGCACTGGCTCTACTGGTGTTTCGACTGTAAGAATATATTCTGAATACCAATTCGTCATACATAGGATTGGAGGAAACGCTAGTTCCGCCGCTGGCAGTAGGCCCATAAAAAAAAACAATGGTTTGGATTCGGAGTGTATGTAAACTCGCGCGAAAGCACTGCATCGACCAAGATAATCCGCCACTCTGGGATTGACAGGCTTTTCCATGCTTATATTTTCGTAACGCCTATGTTCTGGCGTGTACAAGAATAGGCAGATCTAATCGAAGATTAGGGAGCATTTGCCAACGAAGAACTTTACCGTAAATAGTTCCGGAATCTGCCTATTGTGCGGCCTGAAGCATCACAGTAGAGCCTGAAGGGAAGAGGCGGGAGCCAATGGGAGAGGGAGAGAACAGGCGCCAAAGTTCTGGCGCCCTCTACCTTCTCATTCTCCTCCCTTCTCCGTCCGGCTCTGTTAGGCCTCTTTCATACGCTACCGCCACATGGCGCTTAGGGACCTACGGCTAGGCGTCGGCACTTCAGTAGTCGGCTTTCAGCCGCTGGGACTCCACCGTTCAATTACCGAGGCCTATAGTTCTTCCTTTGTTTTCCTACCCGGGCGTCATACATCCCTGTCGCATGGATCGAGTTCAGTTTCGGCATAGGCTAGGCGAATTCGACCAAATACAGATCTGGCTCGGCTTTTGGACCAGGCTATGCATGTTTGGCAGTTAGGCTAAAGGGTAAGTCTTGTCTCAGCAAAGCCACCTTCAGCGATGTATTGTGGCATGCATGCATCCTCATCTGCCCTTTCTGTGACGTAGCTTGACTACCTGAGACACTTGAGACTTTTCTCAGTTTTAGACCACCCTACTTTGAATGGGATAGGTTTTTGAAAATGACTTAGTCATGGGAGCTAAGCAGTCTCGGCCCATGAGCGTCAAAAATGGGTAACGGCAAATGCTGCAACAGTTCATGCCATTTACACTATTTTTGGATTGAATTTATACCACCCTTGAGTAGTGGAAAATGGAGAAAGCATAACTTCAAGATGATCATCTGATGATGCACAAAACCACTCAACTGGAAGTTGTCACTGTCTGCAGGTGGCGCAGGAAGACCTCAGGGGATGGTATAAATTCAATCTGAATGGTGAAAGTTAAGGCCTGAATGCACAAACCTCATTTAGGGGAGATAAAGGGGCCTTGAAGCTAAAGGTATCTTTTTCTCCCAAAGAAGTCCATGCATTCTTAAAGGACTGATAACTAAAGGAGGTTTCAGCTCTTGGGCCTTAGTGTAGATGCTATATGACTAATAGGCCTTGGACAAAGACTCAATCTCCATACCATATTGTCAAAAGGCTGTACCAGAGTACATTTATCTTGAAGTCCCATATTTATATCAAGTATGGCAATAACTGAAGACTTTGAAAGGGGCCAGCTATAGGCATTGTCTTATAATCAGATTTTAGCATGGATATTAGGTAGGCTTTATACCTAGTATTCCTTGGTGTTATTCACTAGAGTGCCCACTCCCCATCTATGATAGCGATGTTATTGCTCAGACATGGGACACAAAGGGAGAGCAGGATCAGAATTATTAACTACCCATAAGTGATGGGGGTGGATGGCAGTAAAATTAGTTTCATGGTTTGTGAAAGGACACCAACAATGAATAGAGTAAGCAGGAACAAGTAGGTATGGCACTCCCCCTCTTGGAAAACTAGTGGGAATGCTATTCCCATACTTCTTGCAGGAAGTTGAATAAGAAAATATCGAAGTGGTCAACTGGAATTCATGATTGCAATGGAGGAGGGGAAGTTCAACATATCATCCCATTCATACCATTCCCATACTTCTATGGGTTGACCTTCATCACTAGACACTGAAGAGTTTGTAAAATTCAGGAAGTTGAATGACACCTTGAGTAAAAGGCTCCTAAGGCCTTATTTGTTCCTGTATTTATGGCAATACTTTTCAGACTGTTACTAAAAGGGCAGTTAACTTATCTATTTGTGTCTGATGGACAAGCAGCGCATTTGAATGCTTGTGACCATTTTCAATAGTTACTTTTTTCATTGGTATGTCTTTCCACTGATGGATCATACTTGCGTAATTGGTTGTTATACATAACCCCATAACCCTTGTATCCATGCTCCATTTAAAACGCAACCTGAAGTACATCAGCAATAAAATAAGACTTACAAGTTGTTTGATAGTTTTTATTTGTTAGGAAGAATATTACAAGAACATACAGAATAGCTTCACAGCAGATGCTGAAAATGTCCACCACCTTCTCGAAGACAAGACAAGACTTCGTTTTTGTACCATAGTACGTGATTGATGTTGGGTTGCATTTTAAATGGAACACCCTGTATAAGTATATCATCAGAACGACTGCATTTTTTTTGGCCATTCTGTGTATTAGTATGTATAGCTTGTAAGAATTTATATCTTTGTTCATATTCATTTGTTCTTGACCATATACCAAACATTGTGTAACTATTAAAGTGTATTTTCCTTATCTGGATCTGTAGACTAGCCCCCATATAAAAAATAGTGACTGGGGCTATTCCTGTCTTGGACTTGGTTTGGATGAAGATAGCAAGAAAAGCACTGAGATGCAGATGCTCAGATTTTAGGATTGACCTGCCTATATTATGAGAAGTGTTTGAGGAGTAATGAGATGGAGAATCACAGGGTTGCTAATGGAGTTTCTTCAGGTGAGTTGAAAAAAAATTTGTGCATTTACAGGAGAATCTAGGGTTGCTTGTTGAAAGATTAGTGCAATTTTTCTTGAACTTTTTAACTGCCTTAACCCCTGGTATTTTAAAAATTATCTTGTTGAGCTTCATATGGAAATGATGTTCAGAGCATCCCAATTGGGATTTTCAGTGGCATGACTATGAAGTAAGCACTGTGGGCCAATGAATTTGAACCACTTTTAACATTCCTGTTGCTTTTAAATAAGGATGTCTATTAAATGTTAGTATCCTGCACTCTTGTCCATTGCTCTTATTTTTATAAGAGCAGGTTGAAATTAGTCAAGAAATTCCATAGAAACAAGAATTCAAATTGTCATTGTCAATGTCAAACATTTTTCATTTGCACTTCAAAGTGTATCAAGTCAAGCTCATACTAATCTGTTTTTTGTTTCTTTAAACACAGATTTTTAATTGTCTTTTGGGATTTTTTGATGCCTCTTACAAAGGCAAATAATGAAGGTAGATGGTCTGCAAGTGGCCTAATTTTTATTTTCCTCAGTGATAGCATGTGCAATCCAATTTTCTCATAGTTGTATTAAAATGCTTGCATCTTTAGCATTTGCTTAACTAATTTCAATCAGTTTTCCTAAGATTTGAGGACTATCAAAAAGAGTGTGCAACAAATGAATTTTATGGACTTGCATGCATGCACTTGTAGGAATTTAGGAATGTAGGAATTTTTTTAAATGGTCCTTAATACCAGGTGAAGCAAAAGAATGCATCATTCTTTGAAATTCTGTGGAGCCTCTGAAACACCAGCAGACAATATTTCTTTCATACAAGCCTCTGCATCCTATAAGCTTTAAAAGATTTTTACATGTCTATATTTGCTACTGCCAATGCTTGATATGACAAACTTGAAGGGACAGGCTAAAAAGTTTTAAACAAAAATGAGTGATGTAGAGGTTTGTTATATCGAGCATTGACTGTATTTAACCATGAATGGTTTTTCTTAAGAAAAACCATTCATGGTTACTTTTTTGTGCATGTGCCAATATACTGATCTTTAGACCTGCAAAACCTGCTATGAATGATAATTCTTCTGAAGCCTTTTTCCTTCTGCACTTCAGAATTTGTTGAACCTATCTCTGACTTGCCACATCTCTATCAATTTGTCCCAGTGAATAATGTTTTCATCAGTTACCTTGAAAAACAATAGCCTTATCCACGAGCAGTTTTTTTCAGATTGAACTAATTTTGATCTATAGCTTCCTCTTGGATGAACCAGTTATTCATAGCATATGTTTGCATTGTTTCTTCTGTCCTGGGCCAGTAAATTTTTTTGCAAAGCTCTTGCTCTTCCCTGCTGTTTCTCAAAATATCAGCCTATAATTTCTGCTTTATCTTTCATGTAGAGTACCATTTTCACTGATAGACCAGGAAGCACTGGTGAGGAAGTGGTACAAAGTACACGTGCCATCCACCTTCCAGATAAGACTTCTCTCATGCAAAAAATATCAAAGCTGCTTTTGTAAAATCGCTCATGTGGTAAAATTGCTAGAGAAAAACAGACACAATATTAGGATATTAATAAGAAATAAAAATAAATAAAAAAGGATTGAGGATACATTTTCTTACTGAAAAAAAAGCTTGGTTGTATTATCTACTGCCCCAAGAATGCCAAAGTATTTCAAGGAGGAGTGTTTTTTTATGCTCTACCTGGTCTATTCAGGATAGATTTAACCAGCAGTGTGAGGTAGCTTGTGACTCCTTATCAGTGCAGTAGGAGGATGAGATGTACCACTAGACAGACCTTTTAGGAAATGATGTGGTAGGCAAATAAGCCTTGGTAGAGGTGATCAACTATGGCTCTTGTGAACCAAAGGGGTTGGATGGTGCAGATTTACTAATCCCTTCCCAAGGCATTTAGACAACAGCTAGAGGGGGTGGATGGAATGGGTAAGCTGTGATTGGCATTGGGATAAGGGCATGAATGGGAACCCAGGTATCTGGAAGATGGAGTTAATTCATCTTCTAATCCAATCCAATCTCATTGCATGAACATAATGAAAGAGCATTGATTCATTCAGCTGCAGCTTGTCAAGTTGGAAAGTCAGACAGATTTATGTCCAAAAGCTATCAGTGGGAGAGGACATCAAAGGCCATCATTGACATGTGCTGATTGCAGTAAAAGTTGCTTAGGTTCCACTGCTATATTGAAGTACTTATATCACCAAGCTCAATACTGACAGTTTGAGATGCAACTATGAAGTGGTATCTCACAGGAAGTGCCAGAGACATTACTAGGTTGGGCCAGATCAGCTGAAGTTGAAGTCAATGCTTGGTTTGGTCCACTGTGGTGGCATTCCTAAGGTGATTGAACAAGAAAAAATGTGGAGATGAACTCATTGCCTGGGTGTTGAAAGTCTTATTGCTTGTGATACTACACAGCTGATCAGGAAAGTTCTAAACCTGATAAGTGCAAGCATGACATACATGTACAGTCCTTAGAGATGAACAGAAGCTACCCTTTAGCAGGGGAAGGAAGAAGACCTGAGAAGTAAATCAGACAGGATAAAGGATAAGCATGAATCTCATACTGAAATTTGTCTCATGCTAAACTTGAAATCTAATATTTTACATTCTTTCCATAACTCACTGATATTTCATTTAGAAAATGGAATAACTTAGTTATGGTTGCCATGTATTTTCATAATTCCATTCATTTATGTAATCAGTTTGTTTTTTGTTTTTGAGCACGCATAGTTACTGGTATTGGAACAAATGCATTACTTAGCTTGAAAAGGACCCTTTTATTTATGAAGGCATTGATCAATGCAGTTCTTTTGTCATTATAACTTTGATTGATAAGAAATCACATACACCAGTATTTAATATGATTCAATTAGCATCCTAATGGTTTCTTGTTACTTTCAATGCCTGTCATTTTTATCTCTTTCTAGGTGGTCCACCAAATGGAATGAGCCCCTTAAGCCTAATTGCAGTGAATGGAATTCTCACTCCATCTCCAACCCCATCACCCGATGAACTTGTCATTCGTTCACGGGGAAGGCGTCAAGCACCTGAGACATGGAGCCCCATTGCAGTGAGACAAGCCAAGACCATACCAACACCAAAGAAGGGATCTGGAACAAGGATGAGTCCTCGGAAGCACTTGCTTCTGACTGACTGCAAGGAACATGAACTCACTTCTACAAATGCCATTTCTGCATTTGCTGCCAGAGTAAGCATGCTCCAAACCTCAAAGCCAATTTATTGGTGTCTGTAAGAGCCTAGCTTCCATCATATTGCAGGTTAAACTTGATCATTTGCTTGAAATACTTTTTTTGTATTTCTGGCAAATGTCTTGCCTAGTTAGTTACTCCTGGAAAATTATCAGCATTTGAAGTTTCATTCAAATGTGAGCACCTTCTGATTTGGACCCAATTTCATATGAGAAAAGTACACATTGATGTGACTGCTTTTAGTTTGTATTCTTTATTTTTAGTCTATTTGTGTGTCACAAAAAATATATATTGCTTACATGCTTGCTGGAATTTTTAGTACTTGTTAAAGCTATAGTGAGCCCTCAAAGCTCCAAATTTAATTTTTCTGAAGGTTTGCATTATATAAAATGTTGATGATTTCCTTCCATTTGAGGGAAGACACTGTGTTGGATCATGTTAGAGTTAAGATTCTGATGTTATCAAAAATGTCACTGTTTAACATCACATAAGACCAGAAAAATGAGACCATGTGATTCCTCACTGGTTACTAACTGTTAATTGGTTACTAACTGTTGATTAAAACTGACAAACTGTTAATTAAATTACTAACTGTTAACTTCCTAGATGTTATCATTCTTAGCTATATTGTACTAATTCAAATGTGATCCATCACTATGTGTTTTAATAGTCTATTATCCATGTTCTTGCCAAACTAAATTCAAGTATCTGCTAAGAGAGGGTGTAATATCTGAGGAAAAGGCCTGCTCTTGGTTTCTTCAGGATATTTTCTCATATGTCCAAAATGAACTGAGAGATTGCACATTGTAATCAAGAAAAACTTGCTTGGTCATTCTTCACTGAACACTTCAAGAGTGACTCAGTGAAGGAAATTGTATAGTATTCTTCAAAAATGCTATAGGCTTGTCCTGATGAACTCCCATCATAGTTCAGCAAGAATGTCCTGTTTTGGTTTAACAGTGGTTTGTTCTTGTGGCATTGCCAATGCATGGGGAAGTGTTCCAAGTTTTCAGATGCTGCTTTCATATAGCATCAGTTCTGTGATACTTGAAGTTGGGCAAAGGATGGGAGGAGCTTCCAACAATTTGCATTTGGTAACAATCCCATAACAGATGCTATAGACACCCATGTGCTTTATGATTGGTTCATGCCATCTTCAAATGGCAAAATGGAAGCTGATTTTTCTGCTTTATCATCACCATTTGAATGAAAGCACAGATTTTCACCACTTGTGATGGAAAATTGTTATTAGTGATTTTAAATAGAGATGATGGAAGTTGGTTTTCCCAGAATACCAGTATATCACAATTTTAGTACTGCTACAAGATGTTGTAGTTTTCTAGTTACTAATAGTTTGGTAGTATTGTCTAGATACTGAAGGGTTTTACAAAGATTAATATTATTATTTAAGGATTGAAAGCTTCCTGGGGTTGTAAGATTTTCATAAACAATATGGTGAAACAGTCAATACTCAGATTTCTGGTATGCCAGAAATCTTGATAATGATAAAGGGTTCTACATGTTACTTCTTCCCCTTTTTGTGCACCATTTATTTATTTATTTGTCCCAACTCAACCTAAGAAGTCAGCAAATGCAGGATTCAAAGGATGTAGGTATACCGGGTGTTGCACACAGATAGCCCCCCCCCACAGCCTAAACTATAAGAGCTAAGAAAAAAACTATTATATCATAAGAAAGAGCATTCATTTTCAAATCAAAGCATGTACTTCTCATAATTTTTGTGCACCCTGGCTCTGTCTCAGAGCTTTAATATGAGTGGGTGAGATGAAAAGAGGCACTTAAAGAGTTTGGTGTCGTCTTCTTTGTCCCTCAACACCCTGGTGGTGTCGCTTTGCAAGGCTTCCCGGGAGAATCCATGCTGTTTGCCTTCCATGTGCATGAACCTCAACTCAGTCTTTCAGGATAACTCCATGTTCTCAGCCACATTCAGATCAGGAGTTTCCTGGCCATTCTGCATTTCCAAAAAAAAAGGAATCCCTGAGCCTTTCAGCAATTGCTGTGTGATCAAAGCTTTGAAAAATAGGGCTTCATCAGACAGAAGCTGAATGTTTAATCTTTTTCTAAACCCATGAACAGGTAATGAATTCAGCTCTGGCATCATGAGCTCGAAATGTAATAGCACGGGTGCGATCATTGAATTTAAGTTTTTCACTTCATATGACTTCAAGAAAAAAAAAAAAATTATATGGAACAGATTCAAAATTGAACAAAGATTCCAAATATATATATAATTTTTTCCTAGCTCCTATAGTTTAGGCTATCTATGTGCAACACCCAGTACAAGGAGTTTTGAGTGATGAGTTGGGGATGCAGTGCCATTGATTGGAGGTAGTAGCTACTTGAAAAAGGAGTCACAAGTGGACAAGTTTCCAATATTGGGTCAATGAAAATTGACTTGTGGCACTTCCATATCTATTCAGACATGAAACCTATTGATTGGACCTTTTTTTTTTTTTGCCTCTGATAGATACCCATCCTTTCTTTTCTCATATATGCACTTTTTTTTTAGATGGCCTTGTTGAATGGTGCAAAGAAGAAAGCTAAGGTGTCCCACCATCAAGAATCAATTCCTTCTACCTCTATTCGAAGTGCAGCAAAGGCTCTGTCTCATCAGCAGCTGGTTGAACTCCTTACCACATTGATCACAATACATCCTGAGCTTAAGCCGGTAAGAATTGTAGCCTATTTTTATGAGGCCTCCTTACCTCTGGAGGATAGACTATTTTTTTTTTAGTAATCCTCCTATCAGTGAGATAGAAAAAGAAAGGGGGGGGGGGGGGGGGGGGACCCCCCCCCCCCCCCCCCCCCC